TATAATTTGGAGATTTGTTAAAAATTTTAATAATTTCTGTATTAAATTCATTTTTTTAAATCGTTATTATGATGAATTATAATTAGCTTACCTTAAATAAATTGCATATTTTATTATAAATTCATAAAATAATCCAAAATGTTAGAATTTTTTTTTTTTAAAATAATTTCACGCACTGTACACCATTAAGATTCAACAACATAACTAAAGCCATATTTTGTTCAATAAAACAGTTTCATATTTTACCGCTTGAAGCAGCACTAGTCCCTCCCACTCTCCCTCCCTCTTTCCCTATCTCTCACTCGAATAGTAAATTCGTTAATTTTTTATTTTTAATTTTCTTTTCTTTTCTAATTTTTTTTTTCCCCTTAAAATTTTTCAATTTAAAATAAATAAATAATTAATTAAACAATATAGAAATTTTGGAAATATAATTAAAAAAAAAAACACATGGAATTTTTACCTGGATTCACACAAAATTAAAAAAAAAAAAAATTCTTTATTACTTGATTTATGTATTAATAAATTTTTTCTTTTTTTAAATAATGAAATGTGAATTATTAATATCAAACAATTATTTAAAATAAAAATAATTTTAAACAAAGATTTATTGATTTACAATAAATTATATTGTTTCTCATGACATTTTTTCTGTTTCTTTCATAAAACACCAAAATTAAAATAAACTTTAAAATTGTTGAAATTTCTAATTAATTATTTATTAACGTTTTTATTAAAAATTTGTTTATTTTTTTAAAACTTATTATTAAAATTAAATAATTTTTTTAATTATTGTAACGTGGTATTTATATCTATTAAATAAAATAACTGTTAAAAATAAATTTAGGTGAACAAAGATTTAATCTCATAACCAGAAACTGTTTAAACTCAGAACCACTTTTAAAAAGTTCACACTAACTACTAATAGCTGTTTATAATAAAAAATTCATCTGAAAACAGGTAAAAAAAAATCCTTTTTATTTATATGTCTTAGTAAAAGCATTCCATTTTGTTGTAGAAAAATTAAAACAATAAATCAAAACGTAGAAAGTATAAGGTTGTAGCAGAAACGAATTACAATTTGTTTTCCATTTTAAAATGTGAACGTGTATAATGTAAACGTAAAATAAAATTAAGTATAAATTTTAAATTTAAATTTATTAAATTCTGTAATAAAATATGAAAATATAAAGCATTTATTGCATCACAAAAATATTTTAAACTTTTTTTTTTTTTAAATCCAGTATTCGAAAAATACCTTAATCAATTCAAAATTTCAAACAGCCATTTCCATTTGAATTTTCGGATATGGATTGTATCCTTCCAATTTAAAATCATCAAATTTAAAATCATTGATGTTTGATACTTGTCTAACAATGGATAATTTTGGAAATGGTCTTGGAGTTCTTTGAATTTGCACTTCTAAAGGTTTTAAATGATTTAAGTATATGTGAGAATCTCCCATCGAATGTACAAATACACCAGGCTAAAAAAGTGATTTTTTTTTTTTTTCTGATTTTAAAGAAAAATTTATAAAATGTTACTAAGTGTACAACTTACTTTTAAATTAGTTACATGTGCCACCATATAAGTCAGTAGTGAATAACTTGCTATGTTGAATGGTACACCAAGTCCCATGTCGGCAGACCTCTGATACATTTGCGAATTTAGTTCACCGTTAGCTACATGAAACTGGACTAAACAATGACAGGGAGGAAGAGCCATGATGGGAATATCGACGGGATTCCAAGCAGACATAATCATTCTTCTATCATAAGGCCTTTTTTTTATTGTATCTATAATGTTTTGAAGCTGATCAATACCTTGATTGGTGTAATCGTCATGCATTGTTTTATACTTGGCTCCAAAATGCCTCCACTGAAAACCATACACAGGCCCTAAATCTCCTGAAAGTATTAAATACCTAATTAAAATCTAAGATGAATGAATATAATTATATAAAAACTTACCCTCTTCTCTATCGTAAAATCCTAAAGAATCTAAGAATTCTCTAGAACTGTTAGCATCCCAAATTGAAACTCCTTTTTCTTTTAACTCTAATGCATTGGTAGAGCCCCTCAAAAACCACAACAATTCCTCCACAATTCCTTTCCAAAAAACTCTTTTGGTCGTCAGCAAAGGAAAAACTCCTAAGTTTCAAAATTAAATTTCTATTTATGTAAAGTATTTTGCTTTTGAAAAAAAAAATTTTTGTTAATTACCAAGGACATTATTTATACTAAAAATTTTATCATTTATAATTCAATTTAGTTTTTAGTAAAGGAATCAAAATATTTTACACTTTTGAATTCCTGTTAAATTTTACAAATTTTTGCTCTAAATAGAACGCAAAAATAATTTTAAAAAAATTTAATTTACCATCTTTTAGAGACCATTTCATTTGAGCGCCAAAAATTGACAAAGTGCCTACTCCAGTTCTATCTTTCATTTCAACACCATTTTTCATTATATTTTTAATGTGATTTATGTATTGATACTCCTCATGATTTTCATGACACTCTTTACCGTTTAATACTGAGTTTTCGTTTAAACTCATCTTAAGTATAAAAAAGAAATATAAAATACTGTTTGAAACTGAAGCCCCTGATACACAAAGTTTAATAAAACGTGGCATTAGATTTAAATTATTCTATTTCCACAAATATTGTCATGGCCGATAAGTATTTGAGAAATGATTGCCTTTGGTAAAAAATGGTAAAACTATTATTTTTTGAAATATAGCACCCTGAAATTTTAGTAAATATGTATTAAGCCAGTCTTTTTTTTAAGATTGTAACTTTATTTTAATTTTTCAAAACCGTATCTAAGTTATTAAAACGTAAAATTTTCTAGAAAACATTTATGCATTAAATTTGAATTTTGACAGTTTTAATTTGATTTTAGGGTGCGAATATCTCTCAGCTGGAGAGAGACATTGGTTGTGACCAGTTTCCTCCAAATGAACATTATTTTGGACTAGTTAATGTAAGTGATTGGCGTTTACTTATGAAATGTATGAAAATTCAACAAAAGATGTTACAGTCAATGTTTTCTTTCTACCACAAAGTTTATTCTATTTACTAGAATATAAATTATACATTTTTCGATATTGAAAATAAGAAATTTATTACATTATTATTAATATTTTAAAGAACATTTTGTATAATTTCTTACAGTTTGGAAACACTTGCTACAGTAATTCAGTACTTCAAGCTTTATATTTTTGTAAGCCTTTTAGGGAGAAAGTTTTAGAGTACAAAGCGAAAAATAAAAGGTCGAAAGAAACATTACTTACATGTTTAGCTGACTTATTTTATTCGATTGCTACTCAAAAGAAAAAAGTAGGATCAATTGCTCCTAAAAAATTTATCGCAAGGCTGAGAAAAGAAAAAGGTAAAAAAAATATATAATTGTAACAATTTTTAACTAAATGTATCATTTTTAATGAGATTTTTTTTTTTTTTTTTTTCATTACTTTTTTATAGAAGAATTTGACAATTATATGCAACAAGATGCCCATGAGTTTTTTAACTTTTTGGTAAATCACATAAATGAAATTATTTTGGCGGAAAGACATCAAATCACCTCGAATAAATCAAATAGTAAAGGAACAAGTATTAATATAATTACAAATAATTCCGGTGATTCAGGGTCTACAGAGCCGACATGGGTCCATGAGATTTTCAAGGAATTCTTACCAGTGAAACACGATGTTTAAATTGTGAAACAGTGTGTATCTTTAAAAATTTTTTTATAAAACTTGCTTATTATGAAAGTACTTTTTGTAATATTTATAATGTAGGTAAGCAGCAAAGATGAAGATTTTTTCGATCTACAAGTTGATATTGATCAAAACACATCAATAACTCATTGTTTAAAATGCTTTAGCAATACAGAGACTTTGTGCGGTGATAATAAATTTAAATGTGACAATTGTAGTTCATATCAAGAAGCCCAGAAGAGAATGAGAGTGAAAAAACTACCAATGATTTTAGCGCTTCACTTAAAAAGATTTAAGTACATGGAGCAATATAATAGACACATCAAAGTGTCACATAGAGTTGTTTTCCCTTTAGAATTAAGATTATTTAATACGGTATGATAGTATTATACTCACCTAATTATTTTTTCTAAATAGAAAATTTCCATAACATAACATAATTTTTTTTTTATCAGTCCGATGATGCTGTAAATCCAGATAGACTGTATGATCTGGTTGCTGTAGTTATACACTGTGGTTCTGGACCCAACAGGGGTCATTATATTAGTATAGTCAAAAGCCATGGGTTTTGGTTATTGTTTGATGATGACATGGTTGATGTAAGTATATTTTACAACCTGTACTTATTTAAACATGCAACCGTACCTGAAAACAAAAATTAAAAATTAAAAAAAATATATATATATTTTTTTTTTTTCAGAAAATTGATGCTTCCACAATAGAAGATTTTTATGGTTTAACTTCGGATATTCAAAAGTCATCAGAAACTGGATACATTCTTTTTTATCAATCACGGGATGTCACTTGTTGAAAAAATTTTTTTATTAAATACATAAGTAAAATTATTATTATTATTTATAATCAAGTTACCTTGTTATTGTAATTATAGAGTTTACATAAAAAAAAAAAAAAAAGTTTTTAATTTTTTTAAATTCCTTTTCTTATTTAATAATTTTTTACAACAATATCAACTGTTGACATCATCAACATTATATTTTAAATTTAACTTTTAAGGGAATTAAAGTTTTTTTTAATATTTTGCAAGAAAATTAAGTTATCAAAGTTGAGTTAGTTTAAAAATGATGGCAGAATAATGTTCGAGAAAAATATTAAGGAAAATATAAGATAAAATAAAAGAATTGCTTGAATTATAAATTTGTTTGCTGCTATATAAAATTTTACAGCAGGTGAAGACTTGGCTAGTTTTTTAAAATAATTTGATTAATTATTATAAGTCAAAGTGAATTAGTCTAAACTAGGAATCCCTACAAGTGCCATAAATTCAAATCAATGACAAAAAATTTAAAAAAGTCAATCTGTCTGAGAAACCTGAGGAGTATTATCAAAAACAATAATTTTTTTCAAAACATTTTCATTTCAAAAAAGCTAAAAAATTATAATACATACCTTGTTAAATAAAAACAGCATTTAAGGTTTCCACATACATTATTAAGATATCCTTGATGATTTTTACCTAAACATGTAAAAAATATACAAAATGCACATACACTTTTTTCACAAAATAATTTAAACAATTTAAACACTGCAAAATTTTAAAATGAAATCATTACACTAAAACCAGTAAAATTAACATTAATAATAACTTTTTTTTTTTTTTAAATTTAAATAAAAACTAAAAAAAACTAACAATTCTTACTGAGAATTAAGAGTCAAGTGGTAAATAAACCGCCAATTTTTATTGTATTAGGGAAACCATTTTTATTAACGAACATTTCTTTGAATTTAAATTTTTGAAAAAATAATTAATCCGTTATAATTTCTAATCGTTGTATTAATATATAATTAAATTTGAAAAGGTAAAAAATCAAAAATTTTTTTATGAAACCTTTAAAAAAATGTTTAACAAAACGATTTTTAAACAAAATTCGATTAATTTTTTTATATATTAACCAACCACATTATATGAAAATGACTAATAATAAAAATTTTAACAAACTTTAAAAAAAAAAAAAAAAAAAAATTTATAATCAATTTTTAAATTAATATAATTTACAATATAAAGTACGAAATATTTAATAAAATAATTATTAAAATACACAACTTTAACACATTATTATTCTTATATATATATATATAATATTATTTACAAAATAGAAAATACCATCAACTTATTTTCCCAAAATAATATACACAATTATAAAAAACATTTCATCACAATCAATATCGATTGAAATTACTTTTTTTTTTATATCCATTTATTACATATAACATTAAAATAACAAATAAATTTGTTTTTAATTCATTACATTTAGCTTTTATAAATTATAAATATTAATTCGACAATAGTTTCAAGGGGAAAAAAAAAAAAAAAAAAAAAATTCATTCGATTATAATTATATATAAGTGGGATTAAATTTTTTCTCAAACATTTACAAAATATTACAATAAATTGTTAAAAATAATCAAAATAATAATAATAATGAAAAAAAAATTTGATCATAAAAAAAAAACAGATTAAAAAAAAAACAAAAATAAATCGAGATAATATTATTTTTACAAAATTAATTAATTAATTAAAATAATATATAATGAAATTCAAATATATATAAGTGTATATATATATATTATAAATAAGTAATCAATAATAATAAAATAATGTGTAATAATGAAAATAATAATAATAATAATCCCTACACCAAATCAATCTTTTTTTTTTTTAAATGATAAGTCGGCTTATGAACAATACGAGTATGGATAAAAATTATTAATCGAATAAAAAAAATTTTTTTTCAAATATTTTTTTAATTTTAAAACTGTTATTTTTTCGTTTTGAAAAACCTAATTTGCCTATTTAAAAACTTTAAATAAACTATTTAAATATGGCATAGTCTAAAAATTATTAAATATTGTTGCGAAAAAAAAAAAAAAAAAAAAATTGTAAAAATGATACCTAAAAAAATAAATTTTTTAAAAATATTACAATGATGTAAACCTGATTGTCGACAAACAATGGTGTGTAACTTTTAATTTGACTGCAAATTAATGAAATATTAAACGTTTCATATATCATTCGCTATTAAAAATGATCAATCATAATTAAGAAAGATATGAAAAAAAAAAAAAAAAAAAAAAAAAAAAATTAAATGGTTACAAAGTGTCAATAGAAAAACTTTGCGTGTGAAAACCTAATTGGGGGGTGTCATGAAAAATTATTATTACTTGAATGAATTTCTTAAAAGATTGAAACCCACAAGTTTTGTCGACATTCACTTCATTAAATTCTAATTTAAAAGAAAAAATAAATACTTGAAAAAGCCGAATCTTTAAAAATAAATTATAAAAGCTTTCTACGCGATAATTAGAATAATTTTTTTTTTTTTCATTTCAAGTCCACACACTGGTTTAGGAAATTTGAGCACCTATATTTTTTTTTTAATATGTCTTAATAAACGAACCTTTTTCTTTATTAATTTCTCTTTTTCCTAAAAACTATTTCTACTTTATGTACAATATTCATAATTTTTAAATCAATAATTTTGGCAATTATTATTTAATTTTTTATCACAGTTGTTGAAGTGTTGCTACCATGTCATATTACTGTCTTTGTCCGGACTGGATGACTGCATTGAACCCTTAAAAATTCACATAATGAAAAATTAATTTAAAAAAAAAAAAAAAAAAAATATGCAATAAATATTGAAAAGAAAGTTTTCTATTTAAAGAAAACTTACGGGTAAAAATGATTCGAATGAGTTGAAAGGATTTATTTGTGAACCTTGTGTTCTTGGCGGAGAACCAAGATCACTCAAATGTGAAAGCTGTTGTGTTAATCCTTCTAATTCATTATTATCTACTACAGTCAGAATAACCCAAATAACATCTTGAAAACAAAAATACCAATTTTAAACTTTAACTTTTAAATTAAGGAATGCTATTTATCTTTAATTATTAATTAAACTTACCTCCGAAATAACTACCAGAACTAGTACACATTCTCCATTTACTTTGATATATACCAGGTTCGGATGGACTTATCATTTCAATACTAAGACAAGTGCAACAACCAGGAGCTATAGGCACTACAGGTATTTTTTCCTGATGAGACATACACACCCCACCAGTGAATTGTAAATAACAGCCAGCAGGCCATAATTCATTTCCATTATTTTGTATATACCATGATTTGATAAATCTGCAAAAATAATAACAGAGTTTAAATTTTTCGATAAGAGTACACAAGGGGCAAAAATTTAAAGTCAGGACTCATAAAGTCGAATTAAAATTTACATAAATAAAAAAAAATAATAGAGAAACATAAACACAAAAGAATATTTTAAAAAAAATAAATTGTTAAAAGCTGATGACATGCCGGCAATAAAAAATAAAAATTAGACGGTGTAAAATTAATAATAAGAAGTAATTTCAAAAGTATGTAACATCTTAAATTAAAAATATAGCTCAACTATTAAATTTTTAGAAATTTTTGAGAAAAATTTTAAAACATGATTTTCGAACCTCGGCATAAATAAAAATTTTTTACATTAAAACCTGAAATGACGAAAAATAAGTAGGACGAAAAACAGCTTAAAAGATACAAAAATAGTTAATGGTAAAATTATTTCATTTTTCACAACAAAAAATGGCATTAGAAAATATGTTTCCATCGAAATACTTAAAATAAAATATCGAACATAAAAGGTGACTTACTTTGTATTGGGTGAGATACCATCTCCCTTTGCGACAGCTACATCCTTAGTTAATATCATTGAAGGCAACTTATGTGAACTATTGATATCAAAATATGATCCAACAGCTGCTTGAAGATTCCTGTTAACCAAAAAAAAAATTATTTGCAAAATTACTAATGGTGTGTAAAACAGTTTAAAAAAAAAAAACTTTCAAAAGTACTTTTTTTTTTTTTTTTTAATTAAGTGAAAAAATCATATATTTATTATTATTTTTAATTAACTTTATAATTTAATATATATATAATAAACAAAACATTATTTGCAATTTGATAAAAATCTTTTAAGAACTGATAAGTAACACAACAAAAGATTCTCAAGGTTGACGTCATTCTGTGGTCAGGAAAAACTTTGCTTATATTACGCACAGAACAATAACGAACTTGAACCACATTTATATAAGTTAAATTATTATTATGTCTTACCAATTGTTCATTTCTAAAAAGAATGCTGCTGTATTCGAATTAATTTGATGACCTACTATGGCCTGTAATTGTTTAACTAAATCATCCTTATCAGTGGTCCCCATGCAACTGAATTGATGTAGTAACGTTTGATCTATTTCATTATCGACATCCATTTTTAATAAAGTTTTTAAATATATATATATATATATATTAAGACCTAACTAATTACCGAGCAAAAATATATATTTATTAATAATAAATTTATCCAAAACTATAACAAATGTTATAGTAAAACAAAGTTTAAATAAATTACTTTGGTAAAAATATCATAAATAATAAACACACAAGAAAACAAACAAATACAATATCGCCATCTTTAAAAATGATCATGACTCTTGAAACTGAGTCGCAAATTATGAAATATTTTTATTTTGAATCAGTTTCTGAAACAAAAATTGCCGCCATTTCACAATTATGTTTAAAAACTATAATTGTCGTTAAAAATGAAAAAAAATTATGATATTAAAAGTTTTTAAGAGAAGAATAGACACTTTAAAGAAAATTGAATACGTTTTAACAAATTAAAATACGTTGTTGGTCAACGTTTTTTCAAGATGGTGAAAATTTTTCAACGGTTTTTATAAAGTTTTTAAAACTGGGAAAAAAAATTTTTTCCTTTATATCTAATAATGTATGCTCTGAAATTAAAATTATAACTTGTTTTAAATTGAAAGGAAATAAATTTCGAGTTTTTAGCTTAAATGTAATAATATTTTAAAAATTTATTAATACTTGATTTAAATTTGTCATACAAAAGAACCATGTATAATGCAAACACATTATGTAATGAAAATAACTGATAGGGAATTAATTTAATTTATTATTATTATTATTAATATTATTAGTTATTAAGTTCAATAATTTCCCTTATCAAATAGTGAATAAGGTATTAGAATAAAAAAAAAAAAAAAAAACTGAATTTTATACCTTGATTTCATATCAATTACTATTAATTATAAGTAATTTTGTTATATAAATGTAAATGATTTATAGACTCAGAGATATGTATCAGAAACAATAATTTGTTTATGTTTTTTCTTTTTAAAAAAAAATTTTGTTTGCATTGTGTTTGTCTCTCTCTCTCTCTCTTAAATTAGTTTAATTTTAAATTTACATGTTATCAGTAAAAAAAAAAAAGTTGTTTGGTACAAATGTATTGTGTAATATATTTGTGATTAATTATACAATTGAAATTAAAAATTGAGGATATTTGCACTTTATCACAAAATGTTTAGAAAAACTTTTTTTTCATAGTGATTTCTTCAACGAAAAAAATTTAATTTACTTAAAATGTCTGTTAAAAATCATTTAGATCAATCATTTATTGAAAGTGAACAAAATGAAAAGAAAAATCAAGCTGTTGAAAATTGTTATGAAGGAAATGAAAAAAATGAAAATTTCATCAAAACCCAATTCTTGAAAATTTTTTCAACATTAGGAATAAATTCAAATTTATTTTTTTTAAAAATGTCATTATTCTTTATGTATGGGGGTAAGATATAAAATTAATTACTTAAACTTTTACTTATAACAACCAAACTAATAATTTCAAACGAAAATTTTTTATTCCAGCTACTGCAGCTCTTTTACCTTATTTAACTATTCATATGCAAAGCATTGGTCTAACTGTAGAAGATATTGCTGTTATATACCTGGCATTACCTCTGACTACCTTTTTGGCTCCTCCTTTAACTGGTATTAACTTAATTTTTTTTTCATACCAAAAGTTTATTACATTTTATTAATGTGAAATTTTTGAAAATAGGGTATCTGGTAGATAAAATAGGAAATTATAAACCTGTGGTGATATTATCTGTCATTTTGAATTTTGTTTTCCATCATTCTCTTTTATTTATACCTCATCAAGAAACTCCTGGTATGATGCCAGCTGCCTATGTGGTCCGGCATCCAGCAACAGGTAAAGTAGA